AGACACAGAAATCACCCTCCAGGGGGGATGGCCACGCCGCAATCCCTTCTCCTCCATTCTCCTCTCGGGATCTTGGGCACGCACGCACATGCGCCCGGCGTGAGTTTAAGCCACCGGGTCCAGGACTTGAACTGTGGTTGACTACATGGGAGTCCAGCTACATAGCCATTACATTAACTGCTGGTCCCTAAAATTCTTTAAAGAATTATTTTATTTAACTTTATTTATTTTAATTTGAGCAGAGGGAGACAGAGTGAGAGAGAGAGAGAGAGAAAGCGAGAAAGCAAGCCGCCAGGTCTGGGACTTGAATTGTGGTCAACCATGTGGGAGTCCAGTGCCCTTAACCACCACATCCCTCTTTTTCTGATTTTTATTTTTTATTTTATTTTATTTTTTGGTTGAGGGCACATGCACTCACCAGAGAGAGAGACAGTGAAGAGAGAAAACCGCTAGGGAGGGCTTGGTCACCACAGTCCTTTTCCCTCTGTAACAAAACCCAGTTTCTGACTTGTGGTTCGGCCTTGGAATGGTCAGTTCTTACGGTGCTTAAACACTCACGGACTGAATGATAGTATGTACCAAATTCTAGTTTTTCCCAGTGGAGAATTGAAAAGTAAATGAACCATCAAATCAAATTTTCAAAATTAGTCCTGAGGGGCTGGCAGGTGGCGGTTAAGGGCATTGGACTCCCACATGGCTGACCGTAGTTAAAGATCCGGACCTGGCAGCTTGCTTTCTCACTTCTCTCTCTCTCTCTCACTCTGTCCCTCTCTAGTCAAATTAAAAATAAATAAATAAAGATCAATAAAATAATTAAAAAACATAGTCCTGACCCAGATCCACACTCCCCTTAGCAGGGTGTTCATTTCATCCCCTTTCCCACCCTATCCTCAGGGGATCATTGACCCAATGTAAAACAGATTTCTTTTCTATTCCGGCCCTGTCTAGCCCCGGGGAGGGGAGGAATATGTAGAAATGGCTACCAAAGTTTAGCAAACAAAGGTCACCGGGGGACAGAGGGATATGGATGGCCCAGGAGAGAATAGCCCGGTTTCTCAGTAGGTGTTAAAGTAGAAAAAAGAACTTAGCCTGTAGGGGGAACTCAACGAGGTGGAGTGAGGGTAATGGTGTTGCAGAGCAAAGGGAACCATCTAGCCCCTGTGATAATCCTCTTACCCAGACCTCAGCTGTCGCTCTAATCAGTGCATGCAGCAGAAAATAAAGCCATTGACCTTAACAGGGCATCCGATATACCCGAGTATTTCAGGACGGCCCAGTATTGGAGTTGCTGTACAGGGGTTAAAGAAAGAGGGTGTGCGGTTCCTGCTGCTAGGAGTCAATAGCTTTGATCACGGGAAAGAAAGTTCAAAGCTAGGGCACATAGATTGATATTGGAAAGGGAATTCAGGGGGACCAGCAAGTGGCCTGGTGGTTAAGGCACTGGACACTCTCACATGGCTGACCACGGTTTGATTCCTGATCCTGGTGGCTTGCTTTCTGACTTTCCCTCTCTTTCTCTTTCTCTCTGGTCAAATTAAAATGAACGAATAAATAATTAAAATGAAATAATTCTTGAAAAAAAGAAAATAATTCAGATTTAAGGAAGCAATTGTTTATGGTACTGGAATGGGTAAGGGTACAAAAATGAGGTAATGAAACAAAACTTTTTTTATTAAATTTAAATCTAGAAGTGACTTACAGATAGTGAACAAATCTCAAGTGAACAATGGCTTAATGAATATTTTTAAAAGAATTATTTAATTTTATTCATTCATTTATTTTAATTTGACTAGAGAGACACAGAGAAAGAGAGAGAGTGAGAAAGCAAGCCAAGTCTGAGAGGAGCCATGGTCAGTAACGTGGGAGCGTCCAGGGCTGTAACCACCACGCCACCTACTGGCACCCATGGCTTAATGAATTTTTATTTATGTGCGCAAGTCATGTAAAGAAACCCCGGTCAAGGGAACCAGCAGTTAGCATAATGGCTAGACTCCCACGTAGTCGACCACGGTTCACGTCCCGGACCCGGTGGTTTAAAATTCACGCCAGGCGCGTGTGCGTGCGTGCCCAAGATCCCGAGAGGAGAATGGAGGAGAAGGGATTGCGGTGTGGCCATCCCCCCTGGGGGGTGGGTGATTTCTCGCTTTCTGTCTCTATGTCTCTCTCTGTCTGTCTGGCGATGCACGCGGACTGTATAGCGAAAACCTCTCCAAAAAAAAAAAGAAAAAGAAACCCCGGTCAAGGGACCAGCAGTTGGCTATGTCGTTGGACTCCCACATAGTGGACCACGGTTCGAGTCCCAGACCTCGTGGCTTAAACTCACACTGGGCACGTGTGCGTGCGAGTGCAAGATCTCGAGGGGAGAATGGAGGAGAAGGGATTGTGGCATAGCCGTCCCCCTGGGGGATGATTTCTCACTTTTTGTCTCTCTGTCTCTCTATCTTTCTGGCAAGTGCCCGCTCCTATAGCAAAAAAAAACTCTCCAAAAACAAAAAAGAATTATTTTATTTAACTTTGTTTATTTATTTGATTTATTTGAACTTGACTGGAGAGGGACAGAGAGAGAAAGAAAGTGAGAAAGCAAGCTGCCAGGCCTGGGACTCAAACTGTGGTCAACCAAGTGGAAGTCCAGCTCCCTTAACCACTATGCCATCTGCCAGCCCCTATTATTATTTTTTAAATTATAATTTATTTAATTCTATTTGTATTATTGTTGTTAGTATTAATTTGACTAGAAAGAGAAAGAGAAAGCAAGAAAGGAACCCATCAGGTTCGGGACTTGAACTGTGGCCAACCATGTGGGAATCCAGTTCCTTTAATCACCACACCACCTGTCAGCCCCAACTATTATTATTATGTTTTAATCTTACCAAAAAGAGACAGAGAGAGAGGATGGGAAAGTGAGAAAGCAAGCTACCAGGTTTGGGACTAAAACTGCTGTCGGCCATGTGGGAGTCCAGTGTCTTAACCACTACACCACCATCCCACACCAGGCTTTGCTTTTCTAATTATTGAGTTAATTTTATTATCATCATTATTATTTTAAAATTTGCTACAGGGCATGTGCGCCTACCAGAGACAGACAGAGAGAGAGAGAGAAAGAGAGAAAGCAAGCCGCCAGGTCTGGGACTCAAACTGTCATCGGGTGTGTGGGAGGTCAGCACCTTAACCAATATGCCACCTGCTGGCCCCAAGGTTATTTTTTTAGACCTATTAATTTATTATTATTATTATTATTTTAAAGAATTATTTTAACTTTATTCATTTATTTTATTTTAATTTGATCAGAGAGGGACAGAGAGAAAGAGAGAGAGGGAGAGAGAGAAAGAGAGAAAGCAAGCTGTTCAGGATTCGAACTGCCATGGGCCATGTGGGAGTCCAGCGCCCTTAACCACCACTCCACCTACAGCACCATATTATTATTATTTTAAAAATTAAGTATTTAGGGGGCCTGCAGGTGGCATGGTAGTTAAGAACCCTGGAATCTCTCTGCAGTTCGAGTCCCGTTCTCTCTCTCTCTCACTCTCACTCTGTCCCCCTCTTATCAAATAAATAAATAAAGTTAAATAAAATAATACCTTAAAAAGTTTTAAAATTAAAAAAATTATTTAGTTTATTAATTTTTAAAGAATTATTTTTATTTTAATTTTATTCATTGTCATTATTTTATTTTTTAAAAGTTGACCACAGACAGATAGAGAGGGAACAGTGAGAAAGCAAGCCGCCGGGTCTGGGACTCGAATAATGGTCAGCCATGTGGGAGTCCAGCCACCTTAACCACCACGCCTCCTTCAGGCCCCAATATATTGCTATCGTTATTACTTTAAAATTTGGTGTAGGGCACGTATGCTCACTATCCATAGATAGACCGAGTGAGAAAGCAAGCCATCAGGCCCAGGACTTGAACCATGGTTGACCAGTGCTTTAACCACCATGCTACCTGCTGGCCCCTATTATTATTATTATTTTTAAACTTTACCCGAGAGAGAAAGAAAGCAAGCCACAGGGTTTGAGACTCTAACTGCTGTTGGTCAGGTGGGAGTCCAGCACTCCATCCACCACGCCACCTGCCAGCCCCATGGTCCCAAGTGTTTAGGCAGTTATAGGCAAATGCTAAAGGATACCCTGTCCTTATTCCAAACACTGGACACTCACCCCCGGTGCTGTCTGGGGAGGAGACTGGAAGTTCACTTGTCGATCAGTACGTCTCGTCTATTAGGAAAGAGGTATTCAGTGGCTAGTCCTAACAGCACACACTCCACTGTTGCTAGTTCCACTGTGGTGTGAGCCCTAAAACTTCATGTGCTGCCTCGATGTCCCTGAGCCTTCCAGGGTCCCAGAGGCTTAGTCGAGAGTCCCCTGGTGGAGCTCCCGTCACCTGGACCAGCTGCTGTCCCGTCCACCTGGTCCTAACCACAGGTTTCACTTCCCTGGCAGCCACAGACTCGTTCCCTCCAGCCAATCACACCCTACCTCGGGCCGAGAGCCCACCTCACAAACCCTGCCTCCCCTCTCCTTCCCTGGGCGCCCCACAGAACCTCTGCCTGACCCTGGTGTGTGCTTGCTCTGGCCCAGGCTGTGAGTATTCTGTGACCGAACTGCTGTCAGTCCCATTTGTACATGTTGTGTTGGGGTTGTCCGGCCGTCCCCACGACCCTACCTGGGACTCCTTCCCTCACCAACCAACCAGGTGAAGAGGAAGTGAGCGAAAGGGCTAGGATTCTTCTCTGGATTTGTCCTCTTCAGAGGCAGCCTTCGCTACATTGTCTCATCATTCTCAAAGTTTTCTCCTGCGATTCTCATACCTGACCTGGGCCTCTGTGCAGTTCTGCTTTTATTCTGAAATGTGACTTGTCATTCTCTCTTCCTTTTTTTTTTTTTAGAGAGAGATTTTTGCCATGGCTGGAGAGACAGAGAGACAGAAAGCAAGAAATGACTCCCCCGACCCCAGGGGGAATGGCCATGCTGCACTCCCTCCATTCTCCTCCCAGGATCTTGGGCACACAAGCACACACACCAGTGTGTTTCAAGCTGCCAGGCCTGGGGATCAAACAGCAGTCGGCCACGGGAGAGTGCAGTGACAGATCCGCTGGCCCTAATAATGTATATTTGAAACTGGAAATGTTAGCTCCCTGCAGAAAGCCTCCTGAGTCACGTCTCTTTCCTTTGCTAGAGTAGGTGAAGGATCTCCGAGCGTGGCCTCCAGGTTAACATCTTCAGGGAGATGTTGACAGAAGGCTCTGAACCTCCCCTGTGGAGCCCAAAGGGCAGTGAACGCACCATGGCGCTTGGACGGTCTCAAGGTCGAGGTGAGCATGTACCATCTCCTCTGTTTTAGGCCAGGGGTCGGGGCGTGACCTAGTGAGAGAACAGGCAACCAGATGAAACGGATGAATTTGGAAGGAGACAACATTTTGTGAAACAATGGTTTAATCGTAATAATTTCAGTATTGAAATACGTATGGGCCTACGACGCTAGGATGAGGGAAAGATAATAGGAGAAAACAAAACAAAATCAACTCAGGTCTAGAAATCTTTGAAGGATTATAAACTTGACCATACAAAGAGGGGATAAATTGGAGGGAACCAGCAGTTAGCGTTAATGGCTATGTCGCTGGACTCCCACGTAGTCTATGGCGGTTTGTGTCCCGGACCCAGTGGCTTAAAATTCATGCCGGGCGCGTGTGCGTGCGTGCCCAAAATCCAGAGAGGAGAATGGAGGAGAAGGGATTGCGGCGTAACCATCCCCCCTGGTGGGTGATTTCTCGCGTTCTGTCTCTCTGTCTCTCTCTGTCTGGTGAGCACATATGCCCTATAGCAAAAACCTCTCAAAAAAAAAAAAAAAGAATTTATAGGGTCTCCCTCTCTCTCTTTTTAAAAGAAATTTTAATTTGATTTTGTTTATTCATTCATTTATTTTATTTCGACCAGAGAGAGAGAGAGTGAGAAAGTCCAGGACTCGAACCTCAGCCCACCATGTGGGAGTCCGTAATCACCATGCCATCTGCTGGCCCTGGGATCTGGTTTCTCATGAGCAGTGCATTACCACTGTGTCATGGAGCCAGGCTCTATGGTCTCTTCTTGCTTTCACAGTTTTTTCTTTTTAATTTGTTTTGTTCAGAGCTTAACCTCACTTCTAAGTTCCTCGGGACTCTGGCTTCCCTGGCCGTCTGGTGGAGAAGTAATAACCTCATGCATTGGTCTTGTTCACAGAGCAGAGAGTCTGGAGGCTCCAGGTGAAGGTCTGGGCCCTGGCTGCGGTGTCCATCTCACTCCTTGCAGCCTGTTTCATTGCAAGCTCTTTGGGTGAGTTCTTGCGGAAGTGCAGTGACATCTCGATCGTTTTCCCAGTCACGGCCTACAGATTTCCTAAAGAAGTAGCTTCTCCTTTCCTGATATAAAATGGCAACCCTAACTTAGAATGCCATGCTTCTCATGAAATAAGTTATTTTTTTTATTTATTTATTTATTTATTTATTTTAATTTGACCAGAGAAGAACAGAGAGAGAGAGAAAGCGAGCCACCAGGTCAGGGACTCGAACTGCTCAATCTGTTTGGCTGAAAATACTGATACACGGATAAACACGTCCACCCCAGAGCCCTCACCCTCACTCTTGGACTGGGATTGTGGAAGAGGATGGGGGGCCCTCTGCTCTCCCCTTTAGGCATCTCTTGCTGTTTTTCCTGCTGGAAGGTGGGGTGGGCGGAACCATTCCGTGCAAGGGGCCTGGCAGTACTGGTTAGAAAAAGGAGCCTGAGGAGGAACTCCCCGCATACGGAGCAGGCCAGGCCTCACCCAGTGGCCAGGGGAACACTTGCATGGCATGGAGGCCTGGGGACTGACTGCGGGGGGACATGCTCTCATCCCCTCTCCTAGTTTGCCAGGCTGAGACCTTCTCACAAAGGGCCTGCCATTAAGGACCACGGAAGATAAGTGACAGACCCACAGGGGTTGGGCCAGGGAGGATGTCTCAGGGTTCTGAAGGATGGGTAGGAGTTTTCCATGGGGACAGCCACAGCAAGCTGGTGCCAGCATGGAGTCCACCCTCGAACACCATGGCTGCGGTTTCACAGAGGACAGACTCCTCTGAGCAACATGCCCGCTCACTCCAGCCTCCAGCAGCTCTGCTGTTCCTCCCCAACCAGAGCAGAGCAAACTGCCCGTGTAATCCTGCTAGGAAGGGGCAAAGGTGGGTTCAAACCCAGGACTGCGACTCCAGAGCTCAGCCCCAAGGCTCCTGCATGGAGCCACTGTGCATGTGACCTAACCTCCAGAGGACGCAGGCCAGGACTCGCCCATGGCCTTGGGGATCTGTGGGCCCTCAGGAAAGTAGTCTTCATCTGGGACCTCAGGGAGGACCCCCAAAGAGCCTGGCATGGGGGAGGATGGGAGAAGCAGGCCTGGGGGAAGACAGGCTTGTTTAGGGAGAACTCTGAGACTTGGTGGAGAGGGGGCAGAGGGGGCCAGGATTTGTTCTCTGATGCTGGGAGAAGAAATTCATGCATGGCCTTCTACCTTCAGGACCAGGGCAGGGGACTGCAGGGAGCCACTTCCCACCTACCTTCAGGACAGTCTGAGGGAAGGCCCTGGCTGATCCATGGGTAACTCCGGGCAGATGCTTTGGGGGTCTGTGTGGGTTCAGGTCAAATGTCCTTGGAAGAGGCCAGCCTCCCTTGGCCTTGCTTGTAGTAGGCTCCCTCCAGCTCAGCACTGAAGGAGAGTGGCAGGGATGCCCAGAGGCTGGCATGGCGTCCCTGCGGACCAGCCTTGCATCCTTTTCACAAAGACTATGTTGAGCATAGGGGCAAAGGGCCCCCACACACACACACCCGTGGCATCTGGAGCCCTGAGCCCCTTGGCCAGCCCAGGCTGAGGCTAAGGGAGTTCCCCGAGGCGCAGACGTGTTGTCTGTCGCGCAGGCGTGGTGGCTGCTTTACTTCCACCAGCCTCCCGCAGACCTGCCATGGGTCCAGCTCTGGGTCCTGCTGTCCAGGGCTGTGGGCTGGAGGGGATGGGACCTAGTGGTGAGGAGGGGAGGGCAGGGCCTGCCCTAGTGGGCAAGGCTAGGAGTGGACGTGCAATGATCCTGGGGTTGGGGCAAGGTTCGGCGGCTAAACTTGGAGGGGGTCACGCTTGCTGTGGAAGTCACTGGAGCTGCAATAATTAGACAAGTAATATGTGAATATGTTCTTAAAACAAATAGCAAAGTTACTTTGCTCTCCCAGCCCCGCCTCTGACCCTAACGGTCACTGCCGTTTCCAGCTGGAGCTGAGGGTTTCCGGACTTGGTGTCCCCATGTGGGTGGAGGGTGGAAACCCCACCACAGCACTCCCCAGCAGGGCTGGTTTCTTTTGGGGTCTGCACAGGCCACCTTCCTGCATTTGTCAGGAACCCATTTCCCAGTGTCCTCTGGTAAGAGGCCAAGTGCTTTATAGATTTTCACTACAGCAACCCATGCCAGTAATGACCCTGGTCTGTGCCGCTCGGCAGCCCGCCTGGTGTTTCGTGAACAGAGCTGCAGTGGCCAGCAGGGAGGAGAGCCATGGCGACCAGTGGGAGGGCAGCCACAGTGGCCAGCAGGGAGGAGAGCCACGGGGGCCAGAGGCAGGGGAGGCCCCGGGGGC